TTAGGCCTCCACAAGTGCTAATACCTGGTTGCTAACCTCTGTTAGCAGCATTTGATAGTAATTTTACAGAATTTCTTCAGGTTTTAGAGAATGCTTTAAATGAAAGGGTAGAAGAAAACACAGGACTTGGAAAGAGGAGGAGAGGGTGTGGGTAGTTACAGTACCGAACTACAGAAGAGCTGTATTTCACAATAACCGTGCTGCTGTGTGTGCTTGGAGAAATCACTGATTGTTCTCTTATCCCTGTTCTGTTCTGATGAATTTACAAAAAAAAACCCCGAGAAAACAAACCCAAGGAAGCAGCAGAACTTGAATTCAAGAGCAGAACAAGATTGCACAGGGCGATTCTACACTGAACTGAAACATTCATGTCTTGGATCATCGAGAACGAATGAAGTACAATACTGGTCTGTTCCCTTTCTCTTCTTACGTCTCCATTTTGTTTTGCTTTGCTTAGCTTAGATTTTTTCCCTTTTGGAGTCCTGCAGAGAGGAAAGAAGGAGCCTTTGTTTTAAAAAGCCTGAAACCAACAGTGGCCCATTGATCATAATTAAGTCTAAAATAATACGCTTTTGCTGACCTGCTTGTACTGAATCCAAAAAATTGTATGTTATACCTGCTGTAGCCTTGGTCTGCCCACAGATCCAGTTTCTTCTCCCCAAGCTTTTGGTTCTGGGACAATAACTTTAAAAGTCCAACTATACCTGTGTGTTTGCAGGGCTGCACGTGGAAGCACCTCCTCTTCTCTCTGGTGCCTGAAGTGCTTGTTGGTATGAGAACAAATTTTTCATGATCAGATGTTCTCTGTGTCACGTACCCTCTTTTCTTTGACAGACTGCTGTCCCCATAACAACCATGTCTGTTGTCAATAACTTCCCCAGCTTGTGAAATGACACACAGGACAGCAGTAATTCTTATAATAACACTGGGGGGGTTGCATACAAATTACCAGTAATCTTGCCGTGATGTGCATGGGCCCAATTCAGAGCTTCCTGAAGTCTGTATGAATCTCTCTGCTGATTTCAACAATCATTGGTTTCTTCAGAGGCTGCTTCTAACCTTTTAAAGTCAGATTTTTTAAAGTATGACAAAATATAGAGGCTTAGCCCTGTGACTCTTGGTAGTCTAGTATGCTCTAATGAGTAAATACGCTGATGGATTAGTCACAGAACAAATGTGCTTTAGGAGAATAGTGGCGAGATTCACAAAAATGATGCCTTCTTGGCATCCAGTCCTTTATCCTACAAATGGGGAGTGTTAGGTGCCTTGGCCCTGCTTCTGCCCAGTCTCAGTGTAGGTCTTTACAGAGACCCACACCACACACGCCGGCAGCGTGCACAGCCCCATCCTGGTTCTAAGGATGCGTGCTCAGGGAAAACCCCCTTCAAGGGTCTCCCAGTACCTGTTCCCCACGCTGCTCATTCCACTCACCAACTAGCCTGGCTTGGAGTTCGTGAGCGGATCACATGCACAGACACCGAACAGAGAACACGATCACATGGAAAAGAGTTAAAAACAGAATTCAAAAAGAAGATGAGGCAGACAGTGGCAATCAGTCACAGGGCTCAGTCAGACACACTGACCAGCAGCCTGCTTACATGCAACTCGTCCTTTTTATTCCCCTTCTCCAATCCACCTCAATCTTTTTTGTTCTTCCCTGATCTACTTTTCTTCCTCCCTTCCTTGTCTTTGGCCTTTTCCCTAAACATCTCCTAATAATCCTGTATCATCTTAACAGTCTGCTGTTCAATCCCAGTGTTTCCCTCTCAGGCACCTCGCTGTAAATGCTGTTCTCCTTTATGCAACAGTCCCCTTAGGTTGCATAGCCTACCAGAGTTTCATTTGTTGAATCCCTCGGTAGGTTTTGCACCAGGGCAACAGCTTAATCATTCATCTTTGACGGTCTTAGGAGTAGCTGATTCAGATGTTTTGCACCAGGGCATCGGCTAAAACATTCACCTTTGATAGTCTTAGGGGCAGCTGATTCAGATGAATCAGGTTTTCTGGATCTTTGCGTTTATTTTGAATAATCATTAGCCAGATATTGTTACAGTGATCACAAATCTATCCTGCGTGATTTCCTCCCTTCAGAGCTGCTTATTCAATAGCATTTTCATTAGCCATCTCATTTGGCCCAGCCAGATGCATCAGAAAGGGGTGAGAATCCACTTAGTGCATTCCTCAGCAACTCATCCTGCAGCATGAATTGAGTCCTCAAGCAGAGATGACACTTTACAATTTTGACTGCTGCATGTTTCAGGCCACCTGGGAAAACCAATGTATTCCCACCACATTTGTATTGAATTGTTACCTAGGATAGCCTTTGGATTCTGTGCACGTATATGCTACTTTTTAATTCCTCGCGTTTTTTATTTTGCATACAGCAAAATGCATAGAGCTGTGCCCATGCATTTTCTTGCACAGGAAAAAAATTCAAGTACGTTTTTTTTTTTCCAGAGAAGAGACAGCATCTGTGCCAGGTTACGGTGACTTGGTGGGCAGACCCTCGCTGAAGCGGATGCCCAGTGGCACTCACGGGTGCCTTCCAGCAGAAGCCCCCCTGTACAGCCCACAGGCTGGTCTGCTCCCATCTGCAGGGCAGCATGACGCTGCTCCTTGTTCCTGTTCACAAGCACAAGACTACAGATCAGGTTGAGCAGCGCTGCACCCAGCAGCACAAAAAAGGCTGCAGAAAAGAGGCTGCTGTGCTGCCAACACGAGGTGTACAGCCCTGAAACGTATAGGGAAATGCCTACTGTATAAATCTCGTGTTCAATGCAAGAAACTCGTCTGGTCTGCACGAAGGTGCACATGTAAAGAGATGGGTGCACAAACTGTACGAGGGCTATTTGGACCTTGAAATCACCGCTCTGCCCAAGCGTAACCTATCTTTGGCTGAGAAGTCAGTGGTGAAGCTGAAGAAAAGATTCCCTTTGGCAGGGATTAGCCATTTTCTCTGCATGTATTTCTCCTGCGATGCTGGGAAGAGAGGGGAGCTGAGAGCTACCAGAGGAGAGCTCATCAGGGAAAATTGCTGGCTGCGGTGGTTTTCCCTCGCTGTAGCCAAAGGCTGAGATTCGAGTACGTTCGCATCTGCTGCCATCCAGAGCTCGGGGAGGGAAACTGTCTGACTGCTCTGCCAGACTGAGCTTTTAGTTTAATACAAAACTTGGACCTGGGTGAATCAAATCTTCCCTTCCTGCAGTGGGGCTTTTATTACTTTTCAGATAGGGAAAAACTGGAAGTTTTTGATGCCATCCTGCCAGCCGAGGGGAAATGGTCTGAAGTTGCGCCAGGGCAGGTTTAGGTTGGAGATCAGGAAAAATTTCTTCACAGAAAGGGTTATCAGGCTCTGGAATGGGCTGCCCAGGGAAGGGGTCGAGTCCCCATCCCTGGAGGTATTTAAAAGAAGGGCAGATGAGGTGCTTAGGGACATGGTTTAGTGGTGGGATGGCAGGGTTAGGTTAACGGTTGGACTTGATGATCTTAAAGGTCTTTTCCAACCTATACGATTCTATCATTCTATGAAAGATGCCCCATTTCCCCGACAAACTGGAACCCCAGGAGACAGTGGCTTTGCCCACCATTACAACCTGAAAGTTCACCCACAGCTTGTCCTCGGAGACATAATCCCAGTTTTTCTGTCCCAGATCTGCTCATCACCTTCTCCCTCACAGGCTTGTTCTCTTTTTCTTTCTTTCAGGGTTGTATAAAACATTAAGAAACTGTAAGGAATTAAACAGTCATCCACATGCAATCTTCACACAGACTTCGGGGGTTTTTTGCACGATGATGTGCCTGGGGCAAAGTCCTTCCTCAAATCTTGGCTGCATAGAGGAACAGATTGTTATCTTACAACTTACTTAAAATGGCAGTGTTTACCACTAGCCTGTTTTCAGTGTTTCAACGCAGCTCGTTAACAGACACTAAAATACTTTGGTTTGGGATTGACAGATGGAAGGGTGTTAATCCCCGTTAGGTTCATCAGAGGGGGGCATTACAGGGCTGACATCGCTTAAATAAGCGTTTTATTTTGCAAACCCCATTTGGTTTGCACAACACAGAGGCAGCCCCCGTTGGGAGCTGGCAGGGCCACGGGACCGGGCTCCTCAGGCCCGGGGCTGCGGAGCTGCAGGGAAGCCGCCCGGGGCTCACTCCCACCGGGCACTGCCCGACCGCCGGCTCTGCCCAAGGGCAGATTTTTGGTG